TATATATATTTATATATATTCAAAAATAATTGTAAAATATTCCCACCCTCGCTTTTAAACACCTCGAAGGAGTCTTTTTGAATAATTATCGATTAAAAGTAATAAAAATGTATTAATTGAACTTTTTTTTAAATATACATTTAGGTCAATAGGTATAACATAATCAATTAATAGTTAATTCTAAAATTAATTATACAATAATAAAATAATATAAGGTTTTACCTATTTTACAACGTCTTTGTTAACCGCTTCCGTGGAACCAAAATGTAGTAAATATCTTTACAAGCTTGAGTTCTCAGTTTTTAAACGGAGTTCTGAGTCCGATGGCAATAAATATTGCAATCGCTAATGAAATAAATTTTGCAATCGTTCTACAATCTGAATTCGTTCTCAAACCTTTCTTATTTTCGTCTAGCTAGAGTATTCACACTTCAATCAAATTTCTGTACTAGTTATTAATGCAAGTTACTGAAAGTACATTAATATTTTAAAATAGGCAAGCAAAATTTTCCTTCGATCAAAATGTTCATCCCTTTTTCGGGAAAAACAAACAAATATCAGATATAAAAATAATCATGAAAAAATAATAAACTGGAAAATTTTTTTTATTTTCCTTCAAATTATTAAGGAGAAAATCATTTTATTTTTGTCAAGCCTAAAACGAAAAATTTTGGACTCATCACTCTAGAAAACCTTTCTACGTATCACTCTTGAAAAACTTGGACGTATCACTCGAAGAACTTCGGACTCTTGAACCGCTTAACGATCGGTTAATTTTCAAGAAAACGGTCATAAAAGTGCCTATTATTTTTAACTTTTGTATTGGTATTACGTATTTGATTAGTGCTGACATCTAGTTTAAAAGAAACTAATTATCTACAATTACCTTAAAAATATCTTGCTACTGCCATCTGGTGTGTAAAAGGTGAAATAAATTTTTTTCCGGGCAACAGAAATGAATTAGTTTTATTCTTATTATCGCACTACTACTGAAGACACCCGCCCGGAAATATCACCGGAGCGAGAAATAGAGGACGAAACCTCCCCCCGCCATTTTCAAGGGAGCGAGAAGGAAGGGTTTAAACTCCACCACAAATTCGCCCCTCGTCTTTCAAAAGTGTTGCGCCTCTTTTCTATTAAAGCTAGACAGATATAAAAATTATTTTCTACACTATAGGGGAGAGTGGGGTCAATTGTAACAGGGTACGATTGTAACAGAGAGAAAATTTCGAGTGTTGGGTTCTAGATTTGGTTCCTAGGTGGCGCACAAGGTGTATTTAATAAATCTACATGTATACCCCTGCTGGCAACCATTTTTATGTACTTTTGAAAGAGTTACATCACAAAAGATATTTTTACGGTACGTAAGTATTTTTTTTTGGTGTTAGAATATTATATTGTAACAAAGTAATTTTGTTTAAAGATATAAAAATTATTAACCGAATATGTAAGTGGACACCTTAATTAACATTTCAAAAACAAAAAGATTAGTTTTGTTAATTAATTAGCATTGTTTTTAACAAATTAAGCTGTAATAGCGTCTTGGGGACTATTGTAACAATAAGTAAAGGGACGATTGTAACAGCTGAAAATAAATAATCTTATGTTTACAAACCATTACNAAACGGAGTTTGCAAAATTGTCGAATTCAAGTACCTCGAAATAATTTCCTTTGATTTTTTTTTTCGTTTCAAAATTCTAAATAGGTTCTTATTCTCATTGTCGCTCTTCGAACTTCTGAAAAAATGCACAAACATTTATAAAATTTTATCACTATTTAAACTATTTGCCCTCGCTCATATTCTAAATATATTCAAAATCCTTAAGAATTTATATATATATATTAAAAACATTAATAAACTTAATGATGTAAAAATGCATGTTTTATTCAACAATCTTTTCAGCGATGATTATGTCTTTATATTTAAATATTTTTATGAAAAAGAATGATACAATTCTGGAGTACTTCCGTAATTTTAAAAATAGCTCCTTTTCAAAAACCGTGAATTTTAATATGACTTATTTTTTAAAATTTTGACGACTTCCGTTCTATAAGAATTTCGCGTAATTTTCAGGACGCACAAGCTGGTATTACTCATTTCAATGTTGAGTTCGCATTTGTTGTTTAAAGAAACAAAAATCACAAATTCTTCCGAAATATATTGGTACCGATAAAAATTGATTAGCCATATATAGGTGTATGAGTTAACCTTAAAATAAATCAATTAAGACTTCTGAATGTTTAATTTTGATGCAAGATTTTTTTTTGGCAATATAATGAGTTTACGTTTAACGTTTAAATAAATAAACTTCCAATATTTACATTTAGGGTACTAGGTTCATTTATCAGTCAGAATATTTTTCACCTAGGCGATTTTTATACAACTGTTTCCGCACTCTTACGTCGACCCGTGCGCGTAAATCAGTCATAACAACGTAAATATTTCATCGTAATATGCTCATCTCAATAAATCAATAAAAAATACATTCTAGAATTGAATTTCCAAGCTTATAATTGCATCGTACGTAAAGAAGATCACCGCAATAGGGATTTCCTAACTTTTGATATCTTCATCCGCTCATCGATTCAATTAGGGTTTAAAAAAGAAAAAAAAAAGAAGATAACCTCGTCATCATTATATGAACCGCCAACTCCTTGACCCTTCGTTTAACAACGGCGTAGGAGTAAACAGTAAAGATTCATAATCCTTATGTATCGGTTTTGGACACTTACGGGCAATTAATTATGTCCTAAACTCGGTCAGGACTACGATCATTAAAAGCTATCTGATTTTTAAGGATCATAATTTATTTTGATCATTACATCTGAAGAAGTTGTTAATTAATTAATTAAGTTAAAGTTTTAAGTTGTGGATCAATGGCAGTTTGGCAATCTCTGTCAAAGCGATTTGATAGAAAATTGTTCATTTTCTTCTTGTGTGTGATCCTTCCATTCGCATTATTACCTTTAGCACTATCGGATTATCAGGCAAGTAGTATTTTATTTAATTAACTAAGTAGTAATACTTAAGTATTTTATTTTATAAATCTCATCATATTTAAATAGCGTGAAAGAGATAGTTATTCCTTTGACCAATTTTATTTTTTTGATCCAGAAATTACTAATACAAATACACTGATACTAGTGTAAGGTGACCACTTGCGATGCACTGATTTTGTGGTCAACTTAGTTAGATGGAAGTTAGTCTTTGCTTTTTTTTGTACTAAGTAGTAATACTTAAGTATTTTATTATATAAATCTCATCATATTTAAATATCGTGAAGGAGATGGTTATTTCTTTGACCAATTTTATTTATATTCTTAATTCATAAATTACTAAAGCAAATACACTGAAACTAGTGTAAGTTGACCACTTGCGATGCACTGATTTTGTGGTCAATTTAGATAGGTGGAAGTTAGTCTTTGCTTTTTTTCATTTATAATAGTATATATTTCTATATTTTATAGTTTTTCCATACGGTGAACTTGCAAGCTCATATTATTTTACCAATTCAGTGCAATTTTATTACTTGGCATAACATTTAGAAAATTTCCTAGTAAGGGTTTTTTGTTCAACTAATGAAGGATTTAGATTAACAATTTGATAACGCTCCTTGATAAATTTAACTTATAATAGCTGTCAACATAGATGGCAGAAAATTTGCTGAGGTTACAAAGATTTTCCTCACTTTTTAGTAAATAGGAAAAAATTGGTCCTTGCTATAATAAGTCAACTTAGACTAAGGGTAAACTTGATAGGTACCACGGTTGCTCAGAAATTTTGTGGCAAATTTAGGATTTGTCTGCCTATCACTATAATCCTTTTTATAAAGTAATTCTGTCATATATTTTTTATGAAGTAATTCTGTCATATATTTTTTATAAAGTAATTCTGTCATGTTATACCATGGACCACAGTATATTGTGCCTTTTAACAATTTAATCTTATTCGTTGCATAACACACAATTTGGATATTTTATTTAAAACTTGCAAGTTGATTGAGAATGAATATTCACGCATTTAAAACTTTTTTCCTGCAACCTGCATAAGCTAAAATAAATACTAGTTATGTAAGGCTAAATTATATTTCTTATTTAATATAATATCTTTGAAAACTTGACATTTTATCCGAAATAGATATTTTGAGATACAATTTAGTTCTTATTTACTGTAGTTCCTTTTACAGAACAACAGGGTTTTATTTTAGTATCAAAATGATTGAAAAAAAAACTAATCAGCAGTTAAAGGATCAGAAGTAGTTATCTAATACATACTTGGTTAACCTTAAATGATCATCAACACCTGCGGTAACTGGTGTCAATTACATATAGTGAATACAAAATTCCTCTACCAGGGAGACGTAAAAAAATTAGACTGGTCCAAGGTGTAACAGATTTTTGTAAATATCCTACAGTGACCTGAGCTTTGAAATAATGGCAGAAAAATGAGATTTTTGCTTAATATATTCTTAAAAGAAAATTATCTCGTAAATGTGGTGAGTTCAATTGATGTAAACTTAATTAGCATTTTCTTAGTTGTTTAAAATTATTACATAAAAAATATATTCAATTTTTACATACTGTAGAATATTTTAACAATGTATTTTTCCCATCTTGGCCACGGAACAAAATCCTCGAGTCTCTAATACGACATTTATATCAATAATACTGTCCATATGGTTATTCAAATTGATTTTCCCCTTTGTCATAATTTTTCATAGCAATTAAAACTCCGAACAACGTGGGTAAAAACAATTATATTTTAACGTAGACAATCACTTTTTAAAGACATACAAAAAAAGAGAAGGTTTTTCAGAGAAAAAGGGAGGTTTTTCTTTCAAGGAATAAAAGCATTCCAATTGTCTTCCAATATATTGGATGCAGGATGTCAGGGCAAAATGGATGTTACATTTGGATTTCCACATTAAGAAGACACTATAACGTGGGAGAAGCTTTTTATGACAAATTCTCTTTCTTTTGGTATTTAAAAAATTAGAGTAGAAAAAAATTAATTCACGTTAACTTAAAGCAAACCCCGAAGCTAGCTTCAAATGCCTTAAAAATGTTTTAAACATATCAAAACGCAAACAAATTATGACAGGATAGCTTTTCCACTGCCTTATATGTTGTTATTTTGTCATAATTTGTTTATATCTTGATAGTTTGAAAAAAAATTCAAACATGATGGTTTACAGTAGGCTTGCCTAGGTAGACAAATTATTTTTTGGATACGTTTAATTTTCAAATACCAGTGGAAGCGAAAGAGAATTTGTTATTGTCATCCACGGCATACTGTCTTTTTAAGTTGCTCACAAGTAACAACATCTATGCATTTGAGTTTGGGCACATACTTTTTTGTATGATTTACTTAAAGAGTATAATTTAAGTTTACGAGAAATGAAATAAGAATTAATAAAAATGCATCAAAATCAGTTCGCAAGTTTCTGAAATAATTAAGCAAATAAATTTAGCACTTCCAAAAAATATAGAGGAAATATTAAGTTATTAAGATAATTATATGACGTATATATCCTCATTTCGTCACTGAGAACTTCACAGAAATTTTTATAAACCATAACAAAAATTTTCATACAAATTGTAACTATAGTTTTCCATCATTTTTAATTTTACGAAATGTACAGTTAAAATAATCCTATGTGGCATATGACAATTACAGTGACAGATTATACAAGGGAACACTTAGAGATGTTTCGGCAAAATTTTTCTGTCAAATTATGCATCCTGTTTGTGTTAAAATATATTTCAAAATTCCACGATGTTTATTTTCAGTGGATCAAATCTCATGTTGACATATACGGCAATGAACAGGCGGATGGACTAGCCAAGGAGGGCTGTTACGACGCTAATTCTTCCTCTTCAACACTTACCTTTTTAGAATTTCAATCCATAGTTAATTCTGAAATTTCGAAGGGGTGGAAGATTCCACCCTGCCGTCACAGACAAGCGGGCAAAGAGTCCGGTTCTTCATTCGCCCTCAATTGTGACAGAGCTTCTGAAACCGCAATTTCCAGATAAGCAAGCGGTCACAAAAAAGCCTCTCGTTTTTCGAAGGCAGGAGAATCTTCGCGGCCTGCTCCAAATGTCAAACTGAGTAGGCTTCTCCCGAACACATCCTGGACTGTTTGGAACTTTCCAGAGGGGACAGATACTCATCCCCCCTCTGTTCCTCGATTTTCTTAGGGTCAACGGTGTGGTGGACCTTGTCTGACTTCGTCAGGCATTTGGAGGATAAGCCACAACAACAACAAAATATATCAAGTTCTACTAAGCAGGTAATCAAAGAAAAGTTGGGCAGGGCATTTGCGATCAAATCAAAGTTTTCACCATGGTGAAGCTGGTAATCAAAGAAAAGTTGGGCAGGGCATTTGCGATCAAATCAAAGTCTTCACCATGGTGAAGCTGGTAATCAAAGAAAAGATGGGCAGGGCATTTGCGATAAAATCAAAGTTTTCACCATGGTGAAAACTTCCATGAAATATACCCTATACACCATAAAGAGTTTCTTTTTTGTGGAGAAATGGGTGTCCATGTTTTAAAAAACTCTTAATACTTTTGTTTCTCATTAAGAGTTCTGTTGAGATGCATGCATGCATAGAACGATAAGTTGTTGCTTTGTTCAACCACGCTTAGTTATGGATAGTGCATTAAAGCTTTAAAAAAAGACAAAGCAGTCTAGAATTTGAACAGCTTCCTGGTATTTATTTATATTTCAAAGTTTTATTTTCTCAAATTTGTTTGAGCGATTCTTAAACATAAGCTCTTTAATTATTTAAGTATATTTTTTTCCAAATCTTCTGCACCACGGCAGTAAAAAATTAAATGTGACTAATTTTTATTGTTTCAGGAAACAAAATGCTCATATGTTATATTATTAGTCGCATGCTACTGGCTTTTAGAGCCTGTCTCAATTGCAGTGACTTCATTGTTACCCGTGGTTTTATTTCCTGGATTAGGCATCATTAGTTCTTCTGATGTTTGCAGCAATTACATGAAGGTAATTACTTTATCATTTTATTTCTTTATTTCTAAATATTTTAACAAATAGTTATACAGAGCCGCGATGGCTCAGGGGAAAGAGCGTTCGGCTTCCAATGAGGTGAACTGGGTTCGAATGCCACGATGGCTGGTTGATACGAATCTACATTCGGCTTGCACCGACCACAGTGCTGACATGAAATATCTTCACTGGTGGAAGGATCATGGGTTAGAGTCCCTTTGTCGTCAGGCTAACCATGGGAGGTTTTCGTGGTCTTCCTCTCCATGTAACGTAAGTGCAGGCTAGCTCCATCAAAAAGTCCTCCACGAAGGCAAATTTCTCCCAATACTTAATCCAGGAGTTCCCTTGTCTTCTGGATTGGGCTAAAATTTCAAGGCTACGGAATTGAATATTAGTAATCGTTAATCTAAAATTTGGGTCGGCTGTTCAACGACGGTTATAAAAATTAGTTATACAATATAAAATTTATAATGGGGTTTTGAGAAACCGTATCATTCTTTCCCCCAAATAAATGAAGAGTTTAAAAACGAATAAATAGAAATTTCGAGTCTTGGAATTTTTTCGTAAAAATCGTAACAAAATTCTGTTCTAACATGCTTTGATTCACAATATCATTCCTTTTTTTGATTCTTCGATAAATGCTGAATCAAAATATGGAGGGAAATGTCTGTTATGAAGTTTAAAATTGAATTAGACTGGATGATAGCTATCTGTGTTTATTGGAACTTAATACCTAATATTTCTCATATCCATTTCTTTATATTCGTAATTCTAAAATTGTTGCGATGTTGTTAATTTTCACACAATCTGGGGATGTCAAATTTTATTTTTATTGATCCCGTATCTATTTAATTTTAAAAATATTTCATGACAAGAATATATGAACAAAAATGTAGTTCATTATGAACTATCTCTCTATGACTCATTTTTTTTGTGACTCGTACAGCTTTTATTTTTTTTATGACCGTCGTTGAACAGCCGACCCAATTTTTGGGTTACGACTACTAATTTTCAACTCCGTAGCCTTGTAATTTTGAACCCTATCCGGAAGACAAAGGAAACTTCTGGATCAAGTATTGGGAGAAATTAACCTTCGTGGAGGACTTATTGAAGAAACTAACCCGCATTTACGTTATACGGAGAGGAAAACTTCCCACGATTAGATTGATGGCAAGGGGACTCTAACACATGATCCGCCAACCACTGAGGACATTTTACGTCAGTACTGTGGTCGGTGTGAGCCAGGTGAGGAATTCGTATCGACCAGACATCGCTGGAATTCGAACCAGATTCACCTCATCGGAAAGCGAACGCTCTATCTCCTGAGCCACCACGGTTTGACTCATATACACAGTCCAGTCACAGTAATTTGACCACCTGTCAAAAGCCAGAATAACCACCTTTGTCACAGCGGACCGTTGCGAGACGTGCAGGAAGAGAGTCAATTAGGTTTACTCTCGGTAGCCCCTTGGTTCATCTGGGCGGTAAGTTGCTTGACAGTTGCACGTCTATTCGCCAGAACGCATCTCCGTAACCTTCCTTCACCTCTGTCATCTATAGCCCGTGGTGCACCGCATGTGCCACTGATTTTGGATAGTGCCATTTTGCCATGCACGGTATACTTTTACCGTGGCGGCACGCGAACAGTTCACAAAATCAGCCGTTTCCGAAATGCTTCCACCCTTGGCCCGAAAGCCAATAATCATGCCCTTTTGGACGTCGGATAAATCGCTGCGTTTCTGCATTACTCTAACGATTGAAATGCTTTCCGATGCCCTAGGACAGGGGTGGCGAACCTTTATGCACCAGCGTGCTATTTTTTTTTTAAAAAAATGTGTAATGAGGCCATAGACGTGCCGTCAGATAATTTTGACTTCGTGATTATTGGGAAAATAATAATACTAAATACTATCTACTCAAAACTCTTTATTTACTATGAAAAATAATACATTTTGCAGTGTCTTAGTTATATGCGTAATTCAACTTAAAGTAACATCATTGTGACTTCTGTTGTTGCAGATTAGATGACAAATAACTTATATTAGGTTGGAAGATGCTAGTTCAAGCATTACTGTTAATTTTGGCTAGTTATTTATTGTTAGCTTGTTTTTTTATGCTTATTAATTGTTTTTTTGGCATTAATTGTTAATTATTTGGTTAAAAATTGTTTATTTTTTTGTTTGTTTATTGTGAATTTTAATTTAATTGTTAATATGTTTCATAGTGAGACTTTGTGATGGGTGGCGTGCTCAAAATGTTATGTCACGTGCCATTGGTTCGCCATCCCTGCCCTAGGACATCCTTTATATACACTCCACTGTAATGTGCTGCCACCTGCCTTCTTTCACGTTGACGTCGAAAGTAGGTGGTGGTCACATTAATGTGACTGGACTGTGCAGTTTGAGAACTCTTGTCTTAAAGCTTTTAAGAGTTAGCGGACATATTTTTTTCATTTTAATAAAAAAAAATAAGTTTTCGACTTTATATTCGTTTTCTGAATGACGTTAAATAAATTTTTCTTTTAAAGGAAGCGTTCATGATGATCATTGGGAGTCTGATTATGGCGGTAGCTTTAGAGGAATGCAGATTGCACGAGAGAATCGCTCTGAAAATATTAATGTGGGTAGGTTCGGACATTAAATGGTGAGTCGTTAAAAAGCAATACTTTTTATATGCTGGTCACTTCTGTACCCATCGAATGGAATGCTCATTAATGAAATATAATATTTACAGGGTAATGATGGGTTTTATGCTGACAACAATGTTTCTTTCCATGTGGGTGAGCAACACAGCGACTACTGCTTTAATGGTACCCATCGTCGATGCAATATTAGAAAAACTACAGCCATTGAAACAAACAAATATGCATCTTAAAGGACTGAATCTGGACTGTACGTTTATACATCACAATATATCTATTTTCTTATTTTTGCATTGCCATTAAAAGCGAAAAATAAATAATCTTGTGAACTATTCTAAACTTTGGACCACACCAATAAGTCTGCAGGGGTTCTTTTAATGCTAACACGGTTCTCAGTTGTACACCGAAGTCAAGCTTCTCTGGTCTGTGGTCAGCAAGCGGGTGGGTGACCACTTTGATGTAGAGACCGAGAGTGCGCGATATGAGTCCTGGTTAAATTGTCCTACCGTAAATGGTAGATATGTACAGATTGCAGATTTTTACATTGACGCGTAAGCATTAAAGGTTCTACGACAGATTTTGTCTACGTCGTTTTAGCCGGGAGTCAATTGCGTCGCATATCATTGAGGCACGATGTGATGTTAGGACCCTCAGGATTCCGAATGTCTTCTGCGAATAGAACTAGGTTGCTCGGTATCGGTCCACGTTAAACTGTTCTACTTCGTATCGCAACTCGTAAGACTACAAAAGCAGGGGGCCTTCCTCACCGTTGAGGATTAAAATTGTGATGGAATGTCTTCGGATCATCCTCAAAAATGTTACCCAGACCGTCACCATTAGCCCTTTGTACAGATCTAGTACGATGTAAATAAAGTACCCATCTACTCTTATATAGTACCTACCTTCATAAAGTACCTACCCTAATAAAGTACCTACCGTAATAAAGTACCTACCGTAATAAAGTACCTACCCTAATAAAGTACCTACCCTAATAAAGTACCTACCCTAATAAAGTATCTACCCTAATAAAGTACCTACCCTAATTAAGTATCTACCCTTATAAAGTACCTACCCTCATATAGAGAGGATCGGACAAAACACTCTCTAGAGGTTGCAGGGTGATTAAAAATGTTTAAAAATTGTTTGCTGATTGATACTCGAGTGACCCTTTTGTATCTAAAATGCGTGTCATGTGCATATATGGCAACGTTACTTTTAAAAAGTAACGAGTAAAAGTACAAGTATTTTTAAAAAAAGTAACGAGTAAAAAGTAAAAAGTTCTTATTTTAAAAAGTAACGAGTAAAANGTACCTACCCTAATAAAGTACCTACCCTAATAAAGTACCTACCCTAGTAAAGTACCTACCCTAGTAAAGTACCTACCCTAGTAAAGTATCTACCCTAATAAAGTATCTACCCTAATGAAGTACCTACCCTAATTAAGTATCTACCCTCATATAGAGAGGATCGGACAAAACACTCTCTGGAGGTTGCAGGGTGATTAAAAATGTTTAAAAATTGTTTGCTGATTGATACTCGAGTGATCCTTTTGTATCTAAAATGCGTGTCATGTGCCCCAAAATTCTTCCTATAGCATTTGGTTATTTTATGCTAGTTTAAAATTTCAGGGGGGGGGGGCTGAAATTTGCAGTCAAACGTTTTGTTCGAGCTTAAATTAATATTATGGTACTACATTTAAATTTTAACTAATAATTATAAAATAATGTTTACGAGTAATCAAACTAACATAATTTAATCACAATGATTACAAATATTTCATTTTTATTTTGCAATGAAAGAATTTTATGTTTGCTAATAAACAAAAAATTTTTGTTGCATTATTGGTTCAAAAGCTTGAACCCTAAATTCTATAAGTTCAAAACATTATATGCAATATTTACATTTTACATTAATCTACTTGGGAAAATCAGAAATTTTTGTCTTCATTTTAGAAATAAATTCTTCAGTATTTATCATACTTCTAAAAACGCTTCAACGTAGATACTTAACTTTAGAAACATCAATAAAATTTTTAATAGTTCAGAATTTTCAATTTTTGAAAGAAAAATGCCGACATGATTTTAATAGTGGCCACTATTAAAAATGCTATTACTGGTCACTGTCCGGTAACAAAATGTCTCAGTTTCACTCTATAATACTCAATACCTACTTAACTGTTCAAAGATTGCAATTACAGTTAATAAAATGGTATCCAGATATAGTTTTAATGACTATGCGCTATAATGTGTACCACTGAGCACCACCTGGTGGTAAAATGCGGAGTTAGTGATTTTCAAAATCTGCATGAAATGCAGCGCAAAAAGAAATACAGAGAAATAGATCATCATTGATTTTGTACGAATCGATATTTTTCAAACATTAAAGACAATAAAAACTCTCTTACAACTTACATTTGATTGTTTAAAAGTTATTTTAGGAAAGGAAAGAAAAAATAGTTCTCTCAAAATATTTTTAATGTACAAGTTCAAGAGAAATTTTTTGACACTAACTCTGCAGTTTACCATCATTTGGCAACAACCACTAATGGAATCGACACTTCAAATAATAATAGTCTATTACAACACCATTCTATAGATTTAGTCATTCTAAAGTAAACAGAGTAGATATAAACTTGTAGAACTTTAATGTGTCATAACTTAAGAATATAAATATTCATGAAATTTTGTATATTGAATATTTAAATTACTTTTTTTTTTCATTCTTCTAAAATAAACATATAATAACTTTGTGCGACGTTTCAACGTTGCACAGAGGTAACTCTACTTTAATTAGGTCCTTCAGATCCATCATTAATGGAGAGAAAGCAAAATGATGAGGACGAAGAAGTAGCTGATGATAAAGTGTACGTATGACATTTTAATTAGAAAAATTCTACAATAATTGATCTAATATTGTTATGTTACCAATAATTACCAATATCTAAATATAGAGTAAAGAAATTTATTGTTTATTTTACAGATATATACTAATACAATGCAAATCTTTTGGTTATTTTTCTATATTTTTAAACTGATTTTTTATGAAGTTCCCGTGAGTCGTGGTGGTTCAGGTGATAGAGTACTCACCTCCTAATGAGATGAAAAGGGTTCGAATCCTGGCAATGGTCGGTTGATTCGAATTCCGCACCCGGGTCGCACCAACCACACTGATGACGTAAAATATCCTCAGTGGTAGATCTATCATGGGTTACAGTCCTCTTGCAATCAGGCTAACCGTGAGAGGTTTTCGAGGTCTTCCTCTCCATGTAACACAAATGCGGGTTAGTTCCATCAAAAAGATCATCCACGAAGGTATATTTCTCCAAATACTTGATCCAGGACCTCTCTTGCCTTCTGGATTGGGTTCAAAACTCCAAAGCTACGGCGTTGAACATTTGCAGTCGCAAATCCAAAATTGGGTCGGCTGTTCAACAGTCGTTATAAAATAAAATTATTCATCATATAAAAACATGCTCTAAACCGAGAATAGTGTTTTCAATTTTATTTATTTTATTTCTCTAGGCTTCTTCATTTAATATTTCAAATCATAAATGCTAAAGAAGAATTATTCAGTTTCATATATTTTTTACAGGCACCATTTGGAAGAAAGTTCCACTTTAAAAGTAACGCTTCTCTTAAGTGTTTGTTATTCAGCAAATATTGGAGGAACTGGAACATTAACTGGAACTGCTCCAAATTTAGTACTGAAAGGATTAATGGACGTGTAAGTTATCTTTACTTTTGAATTTGACTATTTTCTTACAAAAATTAGAAATTTACAGAAGTAATATAACTTTTTTTTTCAATGTGTGTCATTTTTTTAACATAATTCGCTGATCGACTTTTGTTGATATGGTGGCAGTTTCTGCACACTATAAAATATGTTTTTGAGAAAGCGCTAAACCTAATTTTTTCAAGCCATCATTTTTTTTCAACCCAGAGCAAACGGTTAAAAGTCGAATTCGGTCGATTTTAAGTTATAATTAGTGTTGAGAGATATCGACATTAATAAAGCAACATTTCTCGAACGTTAAACCTAATTTTTTCCAAATCATAATTTTTTTCAACTCAAAGCAATCGGTTAAAGGTCGAATTTGGTCGATTTTAAGTTTCAATTAACGTTGAGAGATATCGACATTAATAAAACAACATATCTCGAACGGGCGTTTAAAAATCGGTAAAGAGGAATGCCCTAGTGTAAGTATTTTTTACACGTTATTCCTCCTAAAACAGTTTGAATGAAACATCCTCACACACACATGCGCAATCTTGGATGATATTGGCCTCCTGTTACACCCTTTTGTTTACAAACTTAAGCTAACAGAATAATGATTCAGCTTTCTTATTAAATGAAAGATAAAGTCAAGACATGACATGGTCTTACGTAAACTGTCACATCATCTACAACAATACATTGTCGATCCGTGATGGCTCAGGGGATAGAGCGTTCGCCTTCCAATGAGGCGAACCGAAGTCGAATCCCTATCGATACGAATTTCGCACCCTGTTTGCACCGATCACAGTGCTGACGTAAAATATCCTCAGTGGTAGGCGGATCATGGATTAAAGTCCCCTTGCCGTCAGGTTAACCGTTTGATGTTCTCGTGGTCTTCTTCTCCATGTAACGCAAATGCGGGTTAACTCCCTCAAAAAGTCCTCCACGAACGCAAATTTTCCCTATACTCGATATACGGAGTTGAACATTAATAGTCGTAAACCCATTAAATTGGGTCGGTTGTTTGACGACTGTTATAAAATAAAATAAAATACATTGTTGAAGTCGACAATTATGTAGAAAAGTAAAGTAACGTGAAACCCTTAAAATGATACAAATACTATTAAAACTTGGCAGCTTTTTGTATTTCAAAAAACTGTTAGGGGACCTTCAGTTTGTTTTTACCACGTTTATATTAACTTGCCTTCGTGTATGTCTGTTCGGGTGGAATTTTGTAATCGATTTTAAACTAACTTCCCGACTAGCTACAGACTTCAAATTTGGCACATAGTTCAGAACTAGCTGACAATGCATGAAAATGAAGAGAAAAAAGACATACAAAGTAAAATAAAATTAAAATTAAAGAAAAATTAGTATTTTCGTGATTGTCTTTTGTTGTCGATTCGATTATTTGTGCAGTGAGCGAAAAAATTGAGATTTTGGAAGTGAGTACAAAAAAAAAATCAAATAAAAAATATTTTTAAAAACCACGTTTTTGTAGTGGAGAATAATAATTAAAAAATAAAAATTTGAAAAGCGAAAAACGTGGGAGCATGAAATACATAACAGTACATATACACATACATATACACACTTTTTTTTACTCATGCACATGCACAACCACATCCACATACACATGCATATACACAAACATATTCCACATACACATCCGCATTCAGATACAATTACAGATATACAAACACATATTCTCATGAGCACACATACACACACTAATATAACATAACTGTTATGTATTTCAAGCGCCTCACATTTTTCGTTTTTCGAATTTTATTTTTTAATTATTATTCTTCACTACAAAAACGCAGTTTTTAGAAATATTACTTTTTACTTTGATTTTTTTTTTATTAATTAATAATTGCATACTTTCTTACTTTAGCCTTCATCCTGAAAGCAACGAAATAACTTTCGCGTCATGGATGTTTTACAACATTCCTGGAATGCTTATCTGTGTTTTTATAGGATGGCTCTACTTGTGGATGGTTTTTATTAAGTTTTCGTGAGTAATAATCTTTTACGTCATTCTATCATTGGTTTTCTCAAAGGAAACAGATATTGATTCATAATATTTTTTTTTTGATTAACTGTTAAGAAAAATGATAAGAGTTTCTTACCTTTTGAAATACATAAATTGCGCTGTCAAAATGACAGCGTTAAAAATCATACTAAACTTATTGCTGTTACATAGCCAGTCATATATTGTCTTAAATTATTCGCGTTAGTTATTATGATACGTACAAGAGTTAATAAAAATACAGAAAATTGATTTCTTTTCCCAATTTCAGAAAATCAAACCTAAATGTTTCTAAAGAAGATATTAAAGATATTATTTCAAAGAGATATGCTGATTTAGGACGACTTACGTAAGTATGCTTAATTACATGTGTTTAAATATTACATAACATAACATTTAACATACATTACATAATATTTAACCGTTTAACCCTTTGGCTACTAACGGGACTCATTTGTCCCAACAAATGTTTAAAAATTACTAATGGGGAGAAAAGCACTTAGAAACTCATTATTATATGCCCCACTCGTAGAGTCGAACCAAGTATACGTGTTTCATGTGTCAAATAACAACCCAGATGGCGCTCTTGCATGAAATAGCATTGTGATTTTGCACTGGGACAGATATATCCGACAAGTATTCTTTATTGGGACAGATATATCCCACTCGTATTCTTCATTGGGATTGTTATGTCCATTCATATTTTATGCATATTTTCTCAAATGAGCATCGAAAAAAGAACACCCTATGTGTAATGTCGGATTATGCGAAGATTGCTTTACCCTGTATCATACCATAAAAAAAATCCATATAATAAATTTTTCCGGAATGATAGATTTGCTTGCAGTAAGTCGATCACTACAGGTAGGACATATGTATCCCACCATTAAGTACGGCCGGGACATATATGTCCCAGCCTCTATATTGATAACGGCTTGTCAGAAAAATCCCAAATACTAAATTTGTCTTATTTGTGACCTGTTTTGTGCTTTTGAATAATAAACGGGACAAAAAAATCATTTTTAAAAATTCGTAGTCAAGGGATTAAAGTGTTACCCAGAGAAAAAATGAAGCGAAGCAATCTCAATGAAAAAGGGTTGAAAACATCAAATCAGTTCGACTATAGGATAAAATTAAGATACATTTGTAATCATCGTCTTCCATTAGTTTCATCCAACGACTCTTCTGTGATGATTCGTAAATGATTCGACAGTGATTCGTAAGATTTGAATAACTTTTCTTTCTATATCTATGTACTAATGTGCATACTTTTGATACTTGTTAAAATATTAGTAGAATATTGTAGTTGTAAAAAATCAATACATTAGTAAAAGTGGTTTTTTCATAATGTGTGTTAAAACATTGCTAACCTTTGAAATGCATTATCAAAGCAATTTTCTATGCCATTTCTATCTTAGTCTTGTTAAATTTTGATTCAATTTCTTATCGACAGTTTAAAAACTGGTGAAACATCGTGTTCGCTGACGTTCTCCAACCCCTGATGATTGATCACCAACCCCTATGCAAACCTACATGGGTTGATTTGCAAACTATGCTCACTTCCCTCCCTACTAAGTTAAACCCACTTGAGATGTGCTCCAGCATAAAATCTGAGAAGCTTAAATCTATAATTAAAATCCTTAGAATTAAAATTTAAAATATTAAAATTTGAAGCCAATCACAAGTCATTGTATTAAAACATGTTAAAATGAAATTGATGACGCAAAAAAGAAACTTGTGGAAGCAAAACAATAATTGGATATCTTCAAGCGACGTCGTCGGAGATAAATCGTGACATTTGTCAATTCAGAAGCCAATCAGGTTCGACTCTCGCTTTTGACGTCACTTATAGGTATCCTATTAAATTTGATTTAAATCCCAATCACTTCACTTCTGGGGTTGAAAATTACCCAATTATGGTTTTTAAAAAGTAATTACCTTTAAAGACTTGTATTTTTGTTTCAAACGCAATGGGATTAATAACCTACAAGATACGTAGTGTGGGTACCTCGATCCTGATTGGTTGTTGAAACGTGGCATTTGCTTACGTTTGCTACTATTTTTTCCATTCTATTTCGACTAAGCCAAGCCCCGTCAAGTATCAATTCTCTTAGGTGACACATTCTATATTCTTTCACGAAGTTTCCTTCTTTCACTTTATATTCTTAACTTAACACAAAGACCGGCATGCAGCCATGTAGAACATAAACAAACTGATTATGGATCGAAGTTGCCAGGTACATTAAACAGAAATATGTCACTGTTACAATAAAATAATAAATCTCAGTAAAGTAAAAGATGTAGACGAGAAAGAATTAAATTTCAACATATGCGATACAGAGCTGTAATTAATTAACTTCACTTTAATTTACATTTTAACTTATGTGGAGAAGGTTAGCTAAACTTTAACACGCCATTTTCCTTACGATCAACTGGCACTGATGTCATAGGTCACGTGTTTGGATACATATGATCTTCTTGAAGTGCAAGTATCCAATTATAAGTAGCAATTGAGTACAAATTACAGTATTATACAATTTAGCTATCACTGTAGAACTGTAAATATTTTTCTAAATAAAATTATCATTAATGATTAAAATTATTATTACTGAACATGCGAAAGTACAATAAACATAGAACACTTCGTTTTTTTTTTATAACCGACGTTGAACAGCAGACCCAATTTTATGGGTTTACGACTAATCATATGAATATTTCTTTCATTTTCATATATGTATCATTATCTTTTAGAATCCAAGAAGCGCAAGTCATGATCTTATTTCTCATATTAATTTTCTTATGGGTATTTCGAGATCCCAAAATTATAAATGGATGGATGGATGCTCTTGGAACAAAAAGGTAAATATTTCCAAAGAAAAATTTTTTATTACCAAAACTAATAGCCACAGCGATTTACTTAAGTGGCTCAGAAGATAGACCCAACACCTTCTAGAAGAAAGAAAGTCTCAGCTCGGGTTAATTTGGTACTCCGAAGTAACGAACATAAACTGTGCAGTGGATGAAAAATAAGAAAGCTGTCACTGCGTTCGGACTACTAAGCTGCGTAGTGGTAGTGAAAACGAAAGATATCATTACGTTTGAACTACTAAAGGATTAAATTTCTTTTTTATGGTAACCTAGGCTAAAGCCTTCTTTTTTCTAGAAGGTATTTTTAGAGAGCCCACCTCCCAATGAGGTGAGCAACTCTTGATTGCCAGCGATGGCTCGTCGATACAAATTCTGCTTCGGGCTCGCATCGAACACAGAGTTGGCGAAAAATTGTTCTCAGTTATAGACGAACTATGGATTGTTAGAATCCCCTTGCCATTGGGCTAACAGTGTATGGTTTTCGAAGTTTTACACTCTATGTAGCGAGAATGCGGATTAGTGCCATCGAAGCTTCCCCCAGGAAGGCAATTTTTTCACAATGCATGACCCAGAATTTTCCTTGATTTCAAGGTTAAGTTCAAAATCTCAAGACTACGGATCTGAACATTGATAGCCGTAAACCCAAAACAGAGTTGGTTGTTAACGCCCGTTATTAAAAGGAAATTAAAAAAATACCGCATACTATAAACACTCAACTTTTGAAATTTCGTAATTTAAAAGTATTTGAATTTCTTTACATATAAGAGAGAGAACTTATATAAAACTGTAAACGCGTGTTCGAGTTCACCTATACTTTTAAGACAATCTTAGAGAAAATGTGAAGCACATCATGATGTTTGAGAATTGAGCAATCTTGCCATGGACTAGTCTGTTCGTGTGCATTATAGGTAGTGCATAATTAAACTAATAATTTTTGTTGAAACTTGCTTCCAAACAATACCAGATTTAGTTGTTTTAATGTTTGGTGACTCCTAATCTAGTTGAAAAATCAGTAAATTATGAATAAAAATCAAAGTAACTTCATAATCAAGTAAATTATGAATATGTTTCTTGGCCTGTTTGAATGCAGTTTCATTTAATACTAAAAGAGAGTTGATTAACCAGTTAAGATTTAAATCAAAATCAAAATATTATGGAAATGTTTGTTATGGATTTGAGAATGCTTCGAGAAGATCAATAATATAAACAATAATAAAACACCACATAAAAAATTTAATTTTATTTACCATTGAAGTACCTAAACAACACACATTTTTAGATTTGTAATAAAATGCTGTATTTATCTATACACCTTGTTGAAACTAAGAACGGAACCTAAAGTCAGTAAAATATTTTTTGATTGTTTCTAATCAAACTGCGGTTTAAGTATAAAATTAATATAATTAAATCAATTCATTTAAATAGGAAACAGCTGATATGAATTGAATTTTATATTTTTATTTATATTATTCCCAAGCTCATTTAAATTTACAGTGTATCCCTAAGGTAACTAATGATTTAAAAAAGCAATCGAAGAAAAACATTTGTAAAGTTTTACGAAGCAAATGAGAACTTTTATACTAGTCCAGATTCAAAATTTGTTTTCGAGATCGTTCGTATATGGCACTACTGACAAAACAAAACTATAACACAATGCTTTTTTAAAATATTTCCTGTTTTTTCTAGCAACATAGTGTAGTTTGAAAATGAATTAAGATTCTCGCGTAAATATTTTACGAATGGTCTACTACGCAGATACAAACATTATTTTTAGTTTTTCCAATCAACAGCGCCATCTGGTGGTAACATTATTAACAAATTCATAATTTATTGAAAAGGTATACGGTCGTTTCCTCAACAGCATGAAGCAAAACCATACATTTCTCTCACTTTTTGTTTAATTTTTCAAAAATCAACTGTCATTTATGAAACACCCATTATTATAATTATTATTAACAGGAAAATTGGTGATTCAGCACCTGCTATGGCTATCGCTTTCCTGTTGTTTTTTCTGCCATCCGATATCAGAAATCCCAAGAGTAAAAAACTTTTTGATTGGAAGACAGTTCAGGCCAAGCTGCCATGGGGACTCATCTTACTTCTTGGTGGAGGATTTGCCTTGGCTGACGGTGCTCAGGTACTGAAAACATTCCAACCTCAAGCTTATTTGAATAAAACGATTTTTTTAAATAAAAACTCTAAAAATATCAACCGCATACTTTGTATCTTTATACTATCAAATCTCGATCATCTAAGTATATGTGAAAGATAGAATAGATCGATCTTTGGAAAGATAGAATAGTTCGATCTGTGGAAAGATAGAATAGATCGATCTTTGGAAAGATAGAATAGTTCGATCGTTGGAAATATAGACGAGATCATTATAATAAATAAAGTTATTTCATGAAACTCTGTGTAAATATATTGTGGTTTAAATGGATTATTCTAGACTAAACATATTATTTATTATATAATTTTATTTCAAAAAATTATTCTTTCTCCCTTCCAGAAATCAGGTTTGTCAAAGATCATTGGAGAAAAACTAGCTTCACTTCAAGTACTGCCACCTATTGCAGTAGTTGCAGTACTTTGCTTTATGACTACCATGATTACTGAAATTGTGAGCAATACGAGTACTGCCAATATATTGCTACCTGTCTTCAGCCAAATGGTAATCTTTTTTAAAATATTCATTACGTATACATATAGCGACGTCGTCGGAGNNNATATATATATATATATATATTGCGCATTTTGTTGAATTTATAAAGTATTTCGGTTAATCTCAATGTCCTTAGGAAAAATACATGTTTTTAAAAATGAGTACAATGACATATTTTTATGTAGAATTTGTGATTAATTAAAGAAATGTCATAAAAATTAACAAATTGAAATTAAGAGACTTTAGCTTGATAATTTTAACCCTGCATTCAGCAATAGTTTCAGTACTTTGCTTCATGACAACCATGATTATTGAAATTGTGATCAATACGAGTACTGCCAATATATTGCTACCTGTTTTCAGTCAAATAGTGTTTGTTTTTAAACAATGATTACATTTTTATATATTACGCATTTTATTGTATTTATAAAGTATTAATCTCAATGTCCTTAGGAAAAATACATATTTTTAAGAATGAGTACAATGAAATATTTTTATGTGGAATTTGTGATTAACTAAAGAAATTCAATAAAAATTAATAAATATGCAAATAAAATTAAAAGACTTGATCTTGATAATTTTGACCGTGCATTCAGCAATAGTTGCAGTACTTTTCTTCATGACAACCATGATTACTGAAATTATGAGCAATACGAGTACTGCCAATTACCTGTCTTCATTTAAATGGTAGTTTCTTTTTAAAAAAATATTCATTACATTTTTATATATTGCGCCATTTTATTGAATTTATAAAGTATTTCAATTAATCTCAATATTTTTAATAAAAATACATATTTTTAGAATTGATTATAATGAAATATTTTTATGTGGAATTTATGATCTATTAAAGAAATTTGATAAAAAATTTTAAATTTAGAAATAGAATTAAAACACTTGAGTTTGATAAATTTAACAGTGCATTCAGCATTTCAATATTTGAAAGGCTTGGGGAAATTTAATAATAAGCCACATTTTCAAACTGTCCAGGAGAATGAGTTTGATAAAACTAACACCATAATTTACATATAAATAGCGATATTTGTCTGAGTATTCTGTTGTAAACAAATGTAATTTCAGATATTTGTTAAGTATCAATTATTTGAAAACAATGCTAAGGAAAAGGTCTCTGTAAAAATGTTACCATTGGAAAAAGTGTGGATTGGCACTATATTGTTTGAATTTATGAGTGTAATGATATATATTGAATGAGTATATTTTCTATAACTAACTGGAAGGCCATGGCGCAGAATAGATCAAGATGACAAAAACTTATTGGGACGGCCTTGGTCTGTCATAGGCTGTAGTGCCCAAGAAGAAGAAGATGATATTTTCCATAGCTTTGAGTTCGATAAATCGAATGGAGATTCAATATTCAAGCAGCATTGATAAATCAAATTTAGCTTTTAAATCCTTTTATTTAAAAAAATATTTTTAATATCTAACTATTTTCCTATCGAATATTCAGAAATTGAAAGAAACTTAAACATTTTTCATAGAAATTTCTTGTAAATTTTTCTATTACAGTCAAAACTCGTTCTATAAATAAAGTTGATCTTAAATATTTTTTGGAAAAAAGTACATACAAAATATAAATTCTAAATAAGGAGTGAATCTACGAGTGATAAGTAAGCAGTGATACTAAATAAGGAGTGAATCTACTTTTTTTTAAAAAAGTTTTAACTGCAAATTGCCAATTACTAAAAGTTGATCTTACTACTTATTTTCGTATTCAGCGAATGATTTACTAAATTATTTTCTTTTTAACAAAAATATCTTTAGGAATACATGATTGTTATTATTTTAACTTTATTTTCTAGAAAAAAAAAATCAAGTTACATGGGTGATTCAATTTTCTTTTAGACCTATATTTGATAGCTCGATGATTTTCCTACTTCCGACACTATCCAATTATAAAAATTTTCACACGAATTTGTTCCATTCAAATATTAAAAAAAATGATTGGTTTAAATAATCATGTTTATTAGCATTATTATTTATGTTTATTTATCATTGACTTTATTTTTTAAAAAAAATAATTATCTGCTGCTATTCCATAAAAGGCTAATTATTTTAAATATTTTGATCTTACCCACTTATTTTTCATCTCAAATGTTTCTAAATTTCAACAGGCCCTCGCAATTGGAGTTAATCCATTATCTATTATGCTTCCTGTATCGGTTGTGTGCTCTTACGCTTTTATGCTTCCTGTCGCAACTCCGCCCAATGCAATTGCGTTTGACAGTGGCAACATGAAAACAATTCAAATGGTAAGAAATTTTAATTTTTCGTAAGTTATTGTCGTAACCGTAGCTTTTCCCGAAAATTTTTTCCACAGCGCTTTTCACTTTTAGGGTGCAAAAGCTATTTGATGAAAACATCCAAAATTTTACATATTTCAGCAAAAATGATATTTTTGGTGCGGATGCTATTTTTGAGTTGCTTTAAGTCAAAGGGATTTTTGGCACTAACTGTTAGCAGTATGATTTTTTGCAGCAGCTATCTTTGAAAATAAGAAATTTATCTCCTTTCAGTTTTTTCGATTTAGAAGAAAAATTAAATCACAATAGAACTATAATTTTCTCTAGCATTTACTCTTATTTATTTACTTATTGCTACACATACATATACAAGATCATACATCTTATGAATCTTTGTCAAATTGAAGAACAAATAGCAGAAGTTAAAAAACACAAAGATATACCCATCTGGGGTTACGGTGAAACACCACCACGCAGTTAAACATTTCGAAATTGTTTTGGAATTATGACAATTGGAAGTTTTATTTCCTTTTTTTTATGAAATGAATTTATGCCGAATGTTTACTAAAAAAAGCGTGTTACTTTTATTTCGTCAGAAGAGTAAAAGGCTACGCAACTCACCTCTACATTTTTCTTAAAAAATTTGTTACAATTATAAAATAGGTTATCGAAAAAAAATTTTTTTTTCTGAAGCTTGTGCAAAAGTTTCATTGTTACCACATGTGTATCGATTTTATTGCTTTAATTTCGCTATGAAACTTGTATTTTAAGTTATAATTTAATTTACAATTTTAAGTATTAATTTCAATTTCAATTACTGCTTACCTACTTATATTTAAACACATCAACAAAAATTGCACAACTTTACTATTAAAAATTAACGCTTAATACTCTTTATTTCATTTCAGGCCAAGCCAGGAATTGTTATGAACATAGTATGCTGTGCAGTTCAAATTTTAATGATCAACACTTTAGGAGTTGCTTTATTTGATCTAAATAATTTTCCCAGTTGGGCCAATTCTACCAAAACTTTTGATCCTAAGCTATTATTGACATTCAACGCAAGTTTAAACACATCATCTACACTTTAGCAACGTCCAAACCAATTTTACAATTTTGTATTACTTTTATTTTTTATATTTCAGTAATAAAATATTTGAAGAAAAAATACTTATCAAACCACTTTTATTTAAGCATTCTTTCTCTGTGAATTATTAATATATTACTTTAAAATTAGAGTTTAATCCAAACATCAAAAAATATCAATCCTCCAGCAGATGGTTAATTTTTATCCTTCTCTAAGTAAATGGGAAAAAGTAGCAAAGACCTCGCACTTCTGGTGTTGGTGGAGGGAATAAACTTAAATATTGCTGTGTAGTCAGATGAAATATTGTCCTCGATGTACTCTTTTGTTGCTAAATCGAATGGTACCAAACTCGTGAGACGATAAAATTTATAATTTAAAACTTGAATTTATGCATAAGTTAGAAATGTGTAGATCACCTGCTTAAAAACGCCATTTCCGACTTTTTCTTGTTTATCTACATGGCGTTGCTAACTAGACAAGGGAGACAGTGTTCTTGTGTTGTTTTGTTAAACTATTTAAAAATTAAATAGGCATTTTTATAACAAATGAAAAATGTTCACTTGTTCTGCAAAATAAAAGAAAAATAGCGCTGTAAAATTTCTGTTTCAAATTACAGTGAACTTGTTAATTTGACCACCTATGCAAGTTGATGACCAGTCTAAGTTACCATTCAATAATCAATTTTATTTTATAAACGTCGTTGAACTGCCGACTCAATTTTGGCTTTACCACTATTAATGTTCAACTCCATAGCCTTGTAATTTTGAACCCAATTCAAGAGACAATGGAACTCTTGGAATTGTATAATTGGAATTATATTTTGGAAATATTAATAGAACTTTGCCTTCGTTTAGAACTTCTAAATGGAACTAACTCCCATTTGCGTTACATGGAGAGGAAAACCACGAAAACCTTTCACGGGTAGCATGGCTGCAAAGGCACAAGGTACTCTGACCCATGATACGTCTATCACTGAGAATATTTTTACGTCAGCACTGTGGTCGACATATGCCGGATTCGGAATTCGTATCAACCAGCTATTACTTGGATTCGAACCCGTTTACCTCATCTGGAGGCGAATGCTCTATCCCCTGAACCATCGCGACTCCTCAATAATCAATTAAAAAAATTAGCAAAACAATTAAATTCCTTCTTTATAAGTTGGCCACTAAATGGATCTCCCAATTGCTGTCCCAAAAGTCGCCAACATACACAGGTTTAAGTACTCTTCAATAAATCCTCCAGATCCCGAGCTGGTTCTAGTTTTTCAATACAACATGCTTAATGAGTTTACGTTCTAAAAACTTTTTACTTTTTCTCAGTTTAATAAAAAAAATAAATTTGGTTTTGTTTGAATAGAACAAAAGAAAAAACTTTAATTAGTTCCTAAACTGTGTGCAGCTGCATCATGGGTCACTGTGAGATTTCCATGACTTCAAATATAATCTTTTAACAGTACACCAGAACCAGTGCTAGTTTAGTACTCATGGAACAACAATTTGGTAGTCAACTTATAAAGGAGAAATTTAATTGTTTGTGCCAGTTTTGTAATAGATCATTAAGATCAACTTAGAAAACTCATAAATTTATAGAAATGGTCGACTTGACAGGTTTCGCTGTTATTCTGTTCCTATTCCAAAAATAATAATTTTTCAATGTAAATTGATAGTTTTGGATATCAATAAGAAATGTGGATCCTGTCCAAAGGGAAAAAGCTGTGAGCGAACTTATTTTCGCAACTTCATTCTTCAGCGTTTTAAGGGTTAGGGGAGCGATTTAGGGACAAAAATCTTTCCATTTTAATTTATTAAAACTATATATTAATATAAAATTTGCTACCACTATAAACGCGTTCTCTAAATCAGAAACTCCGTAGTTATTGGAGGGTATGTTGAATTATGAATTCGAATTAAAGTTCTTGAGTTGATAATTTAGTAAGAGTAGTATTATTAAGATTTGTATTGTAATTACCAGATATTTTCTTTCGTTTCTCGTTTGCTGTTAACTCTTCAACATCTGGCTGGCTATGACTGCTAGTATGCAAGTTTCTATTAATCTTATTTGAAATAAAATGTAATTTGAGGTATATTAAAAAAAGTACGTATAAATGTATAACACTAGCTATCCATGTGATAAATCCTGGAATAATATATTCGAAATAAAAAGCATTTTTTATGATTAAGTGATGACAAGTGAATTAGACACATGTTTTCTTACACTAAATATCAATAAAAGACACTTTAGTTTTGCCAAATATTATATTTTCTGCGAAAGATAATTTACAGATATTACATAATCACAGCAATATAATTATTAGAATGTAACTTTCAGGCTAAATAGTCTACAGATGTTCCAGACTCTTAGCAATATAACTATTTATATATCAGTTTCGGGAAAAACAATTTTCATGCGCTCAAATGTCACAACAATATGATTATATGAATGTCACATTTTGTCGACATGCGCAAATTTTTGAAGATGGTAAAGGATGAGACATCAGATTGATCTCTTTTGCTGTTTTTTAAAAACTCTGCTGAAAATTCTTGAGAAAAAACTGAAGCAGCCTTTTTTCTTGATTTTCCTTTCAGCATGTTCGGTGATGTTAAGATCAATATCACTGATGTCATAATAATCTCTTATGCTTCTTATGAAGAAACCATCATGTTTTTCCAATCTAAAATTATAAAAAAAAATTTCACTTTAAAAAGAAGCTTGCCAAAAGTTTTGTTGTAATAATTTCGCAGTTGAAATACAATTAATTAATTCAGTTAAACTTTAAAAAACACATTAATCTAAACGTTTGTAAATTAAAATGTCAATTTTAATTACCAAAACTTAGATGCATTAGAAATTTCTATTTTAAATTTTAATTTCTTTTTATAGTTGATATTTTTTAAATATCAAGTAATTGTTATATTCTTTTTTTAGTTTTCTAACTTTTTTAAAAATGATATATTGATTTTTATTTAAATTATGAGGTATTCAAATTTATCCTATAAGTGCAATTTTAGTTGGTTTGCGCACCACTGTATTTTGAAGTGTTTTTCCGGTTAATTTTAAACTAATCTGTTCTTTTAATTTAAATTTTTTTCTTTTTAATTTGCTAATTCTTTAAATTGCAACTGATCAGTCCCTTGAAATGGAATCGTGATAGCTGTTTTTTTATATCGAAAGCTCATTTAAGAAGAAGGTTTTCATTAAATACATCGAAAAATCAACCATTAGATCAATGTTAAATTTAGGGAGGCAGCAATTAAATGTCAAATATCATTTCTTTTACTCGGGAAAAAGGACAGATTTATCATCATTGTAAAATATTGCGAAAGACATAACGTTGTTTTGTTAACTAATTTGCATAATAAAAGCCCAGTCATGACATTTTTCGCGATGAAAAAAAAATTTAGATTTCATGGATTTTAAAATTAAATTGATTTCTCATGCAACTAACAAAAATATATTTCATGCTGTTCGCGCATACTTATAACGGTACTTTTATTGATATAAATAAACTGTTAATTTTACGTTTCTTATTAAGACTTTCGAAAATTGCATTCAAATTGGTCCCAAAATACCTTTTCATCATAATTTAATTATACGGGGACTAACACGCTAAATTCACACAGTTGGTGTTCAAAACATTAAATTACGACAAAACACCTGTTCCTGGGCTTATTTGATTACAATTTTTAGCATAATTGCAACAAAAAATAAATTTAACATAAAATTAAGACGAAATTGCCATTCCAAATGCACATTAACAACCCATTCATAATAAGGAGGCACCATTTGCAGTAACATTTTCGGCCATAGGTCGCTATGCAACTCTCAATCTCAATGATATGCCTTTTAAGTTTGTAAGTAAACTGAATCACTCTGTATAATCAAAAATTTTGAAGAAAAAAATACCTGTTGTCTGGAATACCATATGCGATAGAATCTTTTTCATGCACTGTGTCCAACTTGTACAATCTCGCTATCTTTTCATCAGAGAATAAATAAGTTGGATGAACACGTGCATCACTAAAGATAAAAAAGAAACAAATTAAATTTACTAGTAAAATACAATTTTTTGTAAAGTAAATTAGTAGCTTAAGTTAGTGTCCCCACTAAAGATAATCTGAAGATTCTCTAAAAATTCTGAAGATAAAAATAAAATAAAATTCTGAAGAAAATATGAAGATATTTTACCCACTCCTTAAACCCGCTTTTTCTTTGTTTACTACTGAAATTCTTCTAAAAGAATTCTCTAAATATTTTACAATTTTTTTTTAACTGTTGTGTTTGTGATTCTTATACTATTAACACTTATAATTTTCTTACTAAGCAAAGTATCGTTAAGTTAACATCCTGTTAATAATTTAAACATCCATTTTTTTCTGCCAAAGCAGGAAATTCTATTTTTTAATATATCGCATGCATTTATTCTCTACATGTGTCATAAGATCGTGATTGTTAGTCTGTACCATTGATTCAAGATAAGTAAAATAATAAGCTACATTTTTGTATAAAGCACAAGTATTTAAATGTTTATACTATACTTAAATTGTAAATTAGCAACGAAAGTACTATTAGAGATACGTTGAAAAATAACTCAATCACTAAAGCTCATTTTTTACACACGTTAAATTACCATAAAAATTTTTAAAATTAGTGTACCTAGTGAAGTCATCTTCAACTTTTTCATCAACTACTACGTCACTTACGACTTCACAATCAAACACTTCCCCATCAACTTTATCTACAACTTCCTTCTCAAAAACTTTAACCTCATCATCGTCAAATCCATCATCACCAACTTCATCATCACTTTCATCTTCCTCATCAAACAAAGGCAATTCAGCCTTCAACTCCATCATGCATTCTTCGTCACTAAAATAAGAAACGAAAAATATTCTATTAAATACAGGGTGCAGACGCATAAAGTGACCACATTCAGAACCCTCTGGGAAGCCGTTACACTAATTAAATTTTGATGAAACTACGGTATTTATGGACCATGGGGAAATGATTTCTGCGACAAAAGGACAGCTCAAATTTTAACTATACTTAAAAATCTCTCAGAATCGTTGAATTTTACTCAAAT